AGATACCTCAAAGAATTAAAGGAGAACTGCTATTTGATCCAGCAATTCCACTACTGGGTATCTAACCAAAGGGGAAAAAAAAATTCTATAAAAAAGACATCTGCACTCAAAATGTTTATGGCAACACAATTTGCAATCACGAAGATGTGGAATCAACCCAAATGCCCATTAATTAATCAGTGGTTTAATAAAATGTGGTATATGTATACCATGGAGTACGACTCAGCCATAAAAAAATAATACATACCTTTTGCAACAATCTGGATAGAACTGGAGACCATTCTCCTTAGTGAAGTATCACAAGAATGGAAAAACAAGCACCACATGTACTCACTATTAAATTGGAACTAACGGATCAGCACTCATGTGCACAGACAGAAGTAAAACTCAACAGAAATCAAGCAGGTTGGTGGGGAGGAGGGAATGAGTGAAACCATACCTAACAGGTACAATATACACTATCTGGGTGATGGGCACATTTACAACTTTGAATCAAGCAGTACAAAAGCAATCCATGTAACCAAAACATTTGTAGCCTTGGGATTTTCGGAAATAAAAAAGAAAACAAACTAGCTCTCAAAAATTAGGGGATGAGAGGGATAAATAACATTTTATTTTTGCATTGGATTGCTTCCATCTTTAAAAGAGTCTTGTAAAAGAACATTAAAATGATGTAAAAGATTTTTAGGAATACCTCACTAGGTAGAAAAAACAGGTTACAACACCCTGTGCAATGCGATTCCATTTTTGTAAAATATACATATATGTATAGTTCATACATATAAAGTAGATGTATGTACATATGTACAAAAGTAATCAGAATGAAAGCTATAATCAAAATGTCAAAGGTAGTTATCTTTGGGTGAAAGGATTATGGAAAAAAATTCTGTTCTCTGTGTTTTCTGAATTGTCTACAATGAGTATGTAACACTTTTGTATGAAAGCTATTTCAAAAACAATCTTCTCTCTTAACTTTATGTTTATTTAATGTTCTGGTCATAAAAATAAACATTGGAGCAGGTATTAAATTGTGAGTTTTGACTCTCTAAAGCTTTCTACTTGTTTTCTTTTTTATCACAGCCTCAGAACATTTCCTAATGAATCAGGCAATCTTGATGGTACTATCTAAGAAAAATATATTTAGAAAGGTAAACTTTTCTAGCACCAGAACTGAGGCAGATAGCAGTTTAGAAGCACTCTAAAAGACTAAAAATGCAAAAGCTCAGATTTCCTTGCCTCTAACTTTTAGCATTGCCCAGTCCCAGGGGATGCCCCACCCAGGCATTGCTGATGAATCGAAGAAACCATCTGTGCAGGGTAAATGACATTGCCTGTGTCTTATTAGTTGAAAATAGCTGACAAAATCCACGTGGTTAAATAAATCAGGCAAATGGTAACCAAAGCACAGATGTTTACAATCTTCCTGCACAGTCATATAAACATCTGTCAGAAAAACAATGCCTGCTACATTGTCTCTCATATTCACACACAAAGAAAAAGTTTTTAAAACACTGTTTGTTGAGCATTTACTATGTACCAAGTCCTATGCTTATCACCTAATCTATTTTCTTGCTTAATCCTTACAAGAACCCTCTAAGCAGATTACCATTATTTTCATTTTATAAATTAGAAAATTGCAACTCAGATATGTTGATTAACTCATCTAAGGCAGTATTAAGCAAGATTTGTTAAAACACAATGTTGAAATCACTAACATAAATGGAAAGATGATAAATTTAATACATTAAAACTAGAAATACCTATCAAAATATTCTTAACCAAAAAAGCAAGCATTGCCCTATTTTTTAAAACTCAAGATCGTGTTGTTGTTTAATTCCATAAATCACTTTATTATATAGATGAGATGTTTCTTTTTATCTGCAGTGTATATATACAGTTTAAAAATGGCTTCTGTTTTTTCTTGTTTTATTTCTTCTGTTTGCAGAGTTTGTTTTCCTTTCACTTTGTTGAGTTTCTTCAAATATTTGATGATTGTTGCTTGTGAGTCCTTTCCATGCTGGTATTTAAACTTCTGTTTTCCCAATTTGAGAATTAGAGAAACTTCTGATGAGAAGAATTTTTCCTTCAGTACTTGTGAGGAGTTGGTTTGTGCTACTGGAGTGGGCGTGCGGGTGGTGTGCTATTCAGTCTGTGGACATTTCATCCTCTTGGTAAATACTACCAACCTGGAACATTCTGCTGTCTCTGCAATCCCATTTC